TAAAGAAGAAAGATTGAAAGATTATGAAAAATTATAAAAACGATTGGATTTCCTTAAAGAAATTCGAAATAAAATGTTCGTTTTCGATAGAAAATTTTATCTAATAATTCGTTGTGGAGATATATAGACACGTTCTACGGTTCAGCTTTTTGCATTCGTTACAGCAGGAGCACGTGCGTTTTATATGGGTGACTTTCGTATCCTCGCATTATGCACGGAACTCGTCACGTTCAAGTGGCCGAAAAGAGGAGAGAACCTCTTCATTATGCTACAACCGAAATTTTTCATTCATGGACGCTTTGACTCGGTCACGTTACAACGCCGACCGCGTGCGCCTGCCTGCACGTACTCGTTCGCATGCATGATTACGTGCCTTTTAAACTCGACCACGGGGAGAGAAATTACATGGGTGGGGGATTGTTGATGGAGCAAGTTAATGCAGCATGGGAGAATTTATTTTTTAATCGACGTTTATAAAATAAACAAGTAATTACTTCTCTGTGATTTAAAATTGTTCACAATCATTATCCTTAATTATTATAATATACTTATAATAAATTTTTATATGGAATTTATTTAATAATTAAATTGTTATTTAAAATGATCTAGTTATTTATTTAAATGTTGTTCTTTCATGCATTTTCAAAATAAGTCGATTAATTTGATCGTACTTTGAGAAAAATGTCACATTTGACATCTTAAATGTGTCTAATTTTTAAACAATCATTATAACTATCATAGTTTTGAATGTGAAAATATATATGAGCGCCATCGATAGTAAGTTTTGTTGCTCGATGGATAAATATAATGAAATACTCGAGGGATAAGGGGAAAATTGCAGTAGCGCCATCTACGCTTGTTAGATTACCGACCAATACTTGAAGATGTCGATAAATGTAAATGAAATACATTTAAGTTATCAAAATTTTCATAATTTATTGTAGACTTTATACTTACATATAATTAGATTATCAAATATTAGATTTGATTTTATATCTCGTTTATAATGCATATATAATAATTATCAATTGTATAAATCAACAAGAGATGTCGCTCGTAAGAATTATTCAAATTCATTGTAAATATTTATAGTCCATTGTAAATTTTTTTGTTGAAAATAGTCTTCGTCTAATTATTTTTGATCAATTTTTATTTTTGATTTACTTTTTATCAATTGAGGACGTGAAAATTAAAAAAAGGATTATTGTATGTGTTTTGTTATAAAATATTGCTAAATTACAATTTTTATGAACTAAATATTATTTTTTTTTTTTAAAGCAATCAATTTACACAAATGTATACAATAGTAAAAATAAAAAGTGTAAATAAAATCCATCGATGTTTGTTACAAAAAAGAGATAAATATTACAATATCGTTATGTTCTTGTACAATACATTTAAAGTAACGTAAAATTATCAATGGCTTCGCCGTAACAGTTTAAGAACAATGATCCGGGAAGAAAATAGAAATATATAGATATATATACACACGTATATTTACAGATGAAGTAAGCAAAATGTAGAATATTTATATCTTTCTGTGAGTCAGACATTTTAGTAGTGATAAGGAAGCATTATTTACTCGAATTTCGTGGATTGCACGGAAGCAAATAATAAAACCGTGCAATTTAGCTGCGCGAGACATTTTAAGAAGAGGATGTTTCGTTCAATGCTCCTTGCTTCGCTCACATTTTATCATTTTATTTTCGTTCTTGAGAAGAGATCACAATTGTGCACGTTCGCATACCGATAACGATTCCGTACATTCATATAAACTGTTCGGAACACTTATGCATCGTTGCAATTCTAAAATAATGAAATTTACAACAAGAAAACGTATTAAAAAGTTCTTTCAAAAATAGAAAACGTTTTCAATAATAGAAAATGTTTTATATATGATTCTGAATAGTTCTTAAGCATTTTACTTCGGTAAATATACTCTTATCGTACCTTGACATCGTTTGTTCCGTTTTTTATTATTATTTATTCATATTACAAGTCCAAAGGACTTTCATATCCGTACTAAATGACTTTATTTTTTTTTCTTCTGTTACCAGTGCTTATTGCTTTGTACATTTCTATCAGTCATTGATACTACTCGAGCAGAGAATTTTTCTTGACAAGACTTCATAGGCAAGATTTTCTTCTTTTTACATTTTTGTTCAAGGACGAAACGTAAATGTCGATGCAACTGATAATTATATTTAAATTGATCTTTAACTTTTACAAAAAATCAGAAATTCAAAACTTTTGTCAGTTGAATTAATTAGACATTTTTTCTCACTAATATTATTATCCGATTCCTCATAGATAAAATTTATATTGAAAATGACTGCAAAAATTTTTTCTTCTTTGTATTTATGTCATCATTCTTTAATGTTAACTCATTTTGTCGTAAGTTTCACTGTTAATGCTAGTAAACGTGACATTGACCAGAATACGTCTCGAGACACGTACTACCTAATCGATCGAAGACTTTCAATTTATTACGAAAGATTTCCAATTACTAAAATGCCAGCACGTAGTATTCTTTGACATCGAACGAAAGTTTCTGTAATTATCATTTAATTTTATATAGTAGGTACAAGTAAATCGACGAACTTTGAACCACGATTGACCTCCTCTTTTCTTCAATTAATGGTTATCAAAAAACGACTAAAATAAGAACGTTAAATATTATCTCAAAATGACGTAAAATTTCTTTGTTCAGACTGACAAGATAATTAATATAATCTTTTGTCAAATATAAAAAAAAAATTCTTTTATATGAAATAAATACATATTCGATTTGTATAAAAAATAATATAAATCTATTATTTAAATTTTTCGTTTAACAAAATATATATATATATATATCATAAAAGATGATTCGATTAGAAGTATATATGCAAGATTGCGCGAACGATTCTCAAATCGTTCTCGCAACTAGTGTGACCTTCACCCTTGCCTCGTTTCAACGACTGGTCATTTCTCTTACCAATGAGTTAAAAAACGTCTTGGACTAACGATCCAGTCGGTCTGGTTACTGATGTCCAAGGGTGATAAGAGAGAGAAAAAGAGTAGAGGCGAGGAGAGTTACAAAAAAAACAAAAAACGAAACCACATAGAAACGAGATTCTTTAAAGATTTCTTATTTGTTTCTTTTAACAATTGTATATATATATAGTTTTTTAAATATAGTTTATAATTATATATTTATAATTATATATACTTAATTGTTTAAAAGAAATAATAAATTCAATTAAATTTTATTTACGTTTTGGAATTCTTCATTGCTATATGTATATAATCTCATTCTAATGTCTTCGTTTAAGATACATTAGTATTACGTAACAATTAATACAAGAGTCGTATAGCATAAACATAACTTTGCTTATGCAAATGAACGCGCATCTTAAGTGGTTAGCACGCGAAATGCGTGAAGAAAAATTGTAATGGTTTCTCGCGAGACAAATTAACTTTCATGGTCCCAGTATTGTTACATGATTACGAAATTAGAAGGTGTTTTGTGTATAACATCGATTGCATCTTTTTACTTTTGTTGCATAAACCAGAAAAATAAACTAATATAATTAGTATGTGGAAATAAATAGTAATTGCAAAAAGAACAATTTGTCGTTCCACTTTGTTATTTCAATTAATTAAATAGTTTTTGTATTTTACTGCAATATAAATAAATGTTGAAGAAAATAAATGAAAAAAAATGTTATGTTTGTCAATTGATTAGATAGATGTAACATTGAATTACGTATACGATAATTAGAAATCTATTGTATAATGATTCAATGACATATATTAAATGACGTTTAATCAATGACAATGAACGTAAAGAAAGCAGTGAATAAAAATAAATCATAAATAAGGAATATTCAAATCGAGGGTCTTCGATCAAGACTCGTCCTAGTGTTAGATAAATTTAAATCCCTTTCACCGACCATATATACGATCTTGTAAGATATTACATAATAAAGTAATAACTGAAAGTGTCGTAATAAAGGTGGAAGCGTAGTTCTTCCTTCTTCGAAAAAGATCTTCTTTGGAATAGTTCGATATCAATTCTGAATTTCCAAGTAAATCTTTTTATATAAAATTATTTAAATGTAAACAAATAAGTTGATTGTATTAAAAAAAAAAAAGGATATGTAAGAACGAAAGTAAGTGGATAATGAATGAAAAAGATAAAATAGAACGAGTTAAAGTGAAGGAAGGAAATGTCCAATGAAGTGTTATAAATTCAGAATCAAAAATTGTGCTACGTAATTTTCGAGCGATCTAGTAGTTTGACCAATGTTACAGACTATGATTCGACAAGATTCGATGTGATAGTCGTCACCATTTGCATGACTGTTGTTAAATAGTCAATTTTCTTTCCAATTTGTATCAAATTTATGTACTCATTACGTAATTGTAAACTTTATATATATATATATATATATATATATATATTGTATATATATATATATATATTATTTATATTAAAATACTTATAAAAATAATATATATGTAAGGATATATATATAAATATTATTTATAAAATATAATATAAGAAATTTAAATAATTATCCTCATTAAGTCAATTCTTATTGGTTCGGTATATCTTCAGTATTTAACATTTAAATAAAATAATGCGAGTATCCTTTACAAAAATATTCTAATACTTATTGGCCAATTTAATATACATATATTTACAAGAGTATTCATTTTTGTTTTCGATTATAGTTTTTTAAAGATATATCCTTTTTTCCATACTTATATATATTAGATCAAACGATCAGGTAAAAAAGATCGACATTAATCGTTCAAGAATACGAGGCCATTTCATCGAATAGACTTGCATTGAAGTTTTCGTTCAAGGCTCGAAAAAGATTAGAATTTTTTGTATAATAGAGTTGAGGCTGGCACTAAGGAAGAAAACTGTAGACCCCACCCGCATGGTTTTCTCATATGTATAGACTCGCAGTCACTAAGTATAGTCGTTTGTGATAGTAGTGGCGCTAACTCGCGCGAGTGAACGAGCGAACGAGCGAAGGAAGGAACACGCTCTCGGTGAAGTCGCCGATTCGAATATCCGTCGCAGTCGCGGATGCTCAGTCGAAGCAGCGGGATCGAGAGCAGGAGAGGCGAACAAAACGCGATCGCGATCGATCGCGATCGATCGATATTTTTTGGTGTCCCGTGTCGATTTTATTATTGGACAGTGATATAAGGTGCTATTGGAAATTTCGAAAGATCTTCCTTCCTTTATCGTGACATATCTTCAAAAAATTGATCGAATGATTTATCATTGATCTTTATATCGAAAAACAAGCTGATTTTATGTTTGTAAATAAATAAATATAGTTGTAATAGTGATCTCTGGGTAATCTTTGATATTATTGAATTACCATTCAAATCGATTTGAAAGATATCGATCTTTGGAGGAGGATCTATGAAGTTACGATTCATCAAACGAACACGCTTTTAAGTTTACAATGAGATGATTGCTACTTAGAAAATCATTTAAAGCTATCGTACGATTAATATTTTTCATAGTGACGAAAGAGATAGCAATCAAAGCGTTAATTGGAAATGGAGAGACCTTGAATTTGCCAGGTACGATTAACAACAATTATATCTTTTATGCTTTAATGATATTTTACGTTTATGAGATATTCGAGATGTTATCATCGTTATATGAATATTTATGTTAAAAAATATCTTGCCAATTGTCGTGGAACGTGATATTCTCGTTATAAATATCACACTAAACTGAGAAGAACAATCGTAAACTGGTAGAGGGCCGTTTATGCAATATCGATATCTGCACAGAATTTTCTTTTATTCTCTGAAAGCAGTTACGTGCACGATATCGTGAAATTTCGCTCGTATCAAGTCGTACCTCATTGATTCCCCCTTTTTTTTTTGTATCTCGTGTTCGCCATACCGTATCGATATTTCTTGTCGGGCAACTGATAATTATTATTTAAATACCAATATATCAAAGCCGGAAGTGTTACTATTTTCGAGAGTTTCTTGCTTCTATTTCGTTGCCATTTACATTTTTTTCTAAAAGTTTTTCTTTAAAAAGTATCTGAAAGAAAATAACTTAAAAAATATTTGAAAGTTAAATCATTACAATCTCAAGGAGACCTGATATTTTAAAGAAGTACTTGAAAAAAAATCTTGGTTAAAGTAAAAAAAAAAAAAAAAAGAAAGAAAAAAGTGAACATTTTTTTTTAATTCTTTCATATATTCAAATATTCATAAATCAAATGAGAGAGACAGACAGAGAGAGAGAGAGAGAGAGAGAGAGAGAGAGAGAGAGAGAGACAGACAGAGACAGAGTTTGTTGGACACTTCGTTTGGATATACTTTATCATTTATTTTCGAAGTCAATATAATCGAATAAAAAATTGAATTATGTATTTCTCGTAGTACATTTTTTCACAAAGAATTATATATGAACGGTTGTGCTTGTTGGAAAGCCCGTTCGAAGAAACTTGTCTTTGTCCAAAGAGCAACGAGTAATTTACTCTCATCTCACGTCCTGGTTGCACGTCAGTGACGAATTCCGAAATACTTCCGGCGCGCTGACGTTTCTTCAGAAAATTGGAAGTATCTAAGTATCTACTTCGTAGGATCCATGAGAAAAGACAACCCGTTTTAACTCAGCTTGTAGTTAGATTCGGTTAGAATATATTTGAAAAAAAAAAATAAATAAATAAAATTAAATAAAACATGTTGGATCGTCGGTATTTATTACCTAGAGTTATTAAACGTTTTTAATTGGATAAACTCTACTTAATTATATACGGATATTAATGTTAAATATTAAATACCAATAGAAGATTAAATTTCTATTTTGTGGATTAGCTTAGGTTTGGTGGTAAAATTTTTAACAACCAATTCTCGATATAGTCGAATTGAATTAATAATCGTCAGTGGATAAATCGAATCTAATCTCTCCTATAGTGGCTTGCTAAACTGGGCTTCTATTCAAGAAGAGAAGTTATCGTCTATAATAAATATATATGTGTGTAGAAGGCACGTGTAAACTCGTTGCTCCAATATTGCATGTCGGCTTACTCAACGTGTTATTCAACCTCGCACATATACCAAAAGCCGGATTACGTAGCGCAGCTTCCATCGAGATCCTGCCTGGGATTAATGCACGGAAATCGCAAGCCGTGTACGCCTTGTCTGTTCCTGAAATTCGTAACGAACCTTTAAATACGATTATTCATACTCGAATTATATACTTCTTTCGTAATCAAAAATTACGGAATCGGTCTTCTTTATGACTATACTTTTGAATACGTTTTAATGTAGGTACTTTAATTAAAACGACAATATTTTTTAAGTATAAATAACAATATTTATTCCATTTCTTAAATGATCATCGACGATAAGTTTTTCAGAACCGACATTCTACATATATATACATATATACATATATGTATGTACAAATAGGATAAAAGCTATTGTCTTTATTGTCTCATATATTTGATACTGTCACTTGTATTATGTAAGATAAATTTGGTGATATAAGTCGTCGAGGAATTTTTATTCCAACAATTCACATACTCTATAATTTTATCTTATCAACAAATTGATAAGTTGGTATTAAAAAAAAAAAAAAAATAAATAAAAAAAGAAAAAAAAACACTGAAAACAAAAAAAAAGGAATTAATTATACATATTTGAGAAAAAAAGAAGGAATACCTATTTTATATTTAACTTTTTATTATGATCGACCTTGATAAAGTATGAAAGGGAGAAACGAAAATATTTAGCAGAAGTTGTCAGGATAACACGGACATAAGCGTAACTGAAAGTAAGATTGCGGCATTACAGCCTTGTACTCATTGCAGTTAAGGAACCAGGTTGTCTGTTACAATTACTGTCGAGATACGGTGCGATCCTCAAATAACTACCGAGCGCAATATCCTTTTTTTCTTTCTTTCTTTTTTTTTTTTTTTTTTTTTTTTTGTTATATTTAGAGTATAAAGAATAATTAACTCGTTATTCAGATAAGATAAATTTCACACAAGTATGAGAAATATTTGAGATAGGTAGGTAGATGAGTAAAATGAGTTAACGGTACTCGGCTGATTGATTTGTCACGTGCTTCATTTCTAGATGAAATTATGTAATACCAGTGAGAAAGTTCTGCTTTAAATGAATCATTCGTTACAGGAAAAGCAATGATCATTAATGAAAGGGAGAAAGTTTAAATCGAAACGATAATTTTCCTAAGAGGATGTTCTATAATTTTGTTCTTTTTTTTTTCGCGATTATTTATAAAAATAAATTTCACATTTCTGATTTAACTATACGAATGATTTCCAACATAAAAATATTTGTAAATAATATTGAATCGAAATATTATCGATGATATTGCATAATTTCGAACTTTTTATCTCATTTCACTCAACAAAGGAGTACATCTTTACGAAGCAAATCTTTAAGTAATTTGTATTAATATCCTAATAAAGATAAACATTCCGTTTGTTTCAGAACATTAAAAAGAAAAATCTACACATCCGATTATTTAATATATCGTGATTATATTTTATTCAATCAGTGATGAATGAAAATTGCTCTATCTTTAAACGAGCTTGTTTCGAGACACCGGCTTAAATAAGGTGTCGAGGAGATATGGCTCGTAATCGTGCTCGATATTTCTTCCTTCTTTTTCTTCTTTTTCTTCCTCTTCTTCTTTTTCATCTAAAAGGACCAAATGCAGTAATGTAGGCCAAGGTAAATCGAACAAAAAAATTATACGAATTTATATAACAAAATTTATCACGATAGAAAATATTAATCCGTAAAGAACACATAATCCTTAATATTTTTTTTTTTTTTAATAAATAATGTGATGCAAAAAATATTTTCTGATTTTCAAAAATTGTTTCTATTTTTTGTGTAATTAAAATATAAAAATCTTTAAATTTATTTGAATTTAAATTTACTTTAAATTAGTTTAAAGGCATACTTAAAAATTCTAAATTTAGTATAAAAAGAAAAAGATTAATGTCAGAAATTATTTGCAAATAATTGTATTAGAAATAATTATTTTCTTTTAAAATTTTACATTTCATCTTATTCAATCAATCCAATGAGAAAGTAAATTGAATAAAAGTATTAAAAACTGATCATTCCATTTGAATGCGCAGCAATTAATTTGTTATGCTTTTATTTGAATCTTTCTAGAGACGCTTACATCGAAGGAAATTAGATTCTCGCGCAAATCTTAAACTAAGGAATCTTAAAAAAGGATTACGTTAATTAACGATTTGCATGGAACAACCGAAAGATTGTTCGAAGGGAAATGAAGTCAAAAGGAGTGGCGTATAAGTTAGGAGCCGGTAGCAAGAAATCATGTGGTAGTCAGCATTCAGAAATATCTTTGTTCGAAGTAGCACCTGTAGACAAAGAGAGATCCAATCATGTAACTAATAATCGTTTAACCTTTCGTTAGTCATGGTTAACGATATCTACGATCTTTCTTGTAATATCATTTCAATATTCATTGTAAATATAAATTTGCGTTATGATAAAAAATATGAACTTTTACGAATAATGAGAATATTATAAGAATAAAACTATCGTTTAATTTATTTTTATCTTACGATAATTACATTACGAAACTATAAATATATATAACGATATCTAATCAATACTCTTTTTGTATCTATGTAAATTCTTATAATCGTTAGATCTTGTTTAATCTAAATAACATTCTCTTGAGAATATTTTCTTTCTTTTTTTTCCTGTTCTTTCCTTTTGGAAAAGAGATCTTAGTGACGAATACTGAGTAAAATATGAGAGAAATGAGAATGGTTGTTCTCCGGTTATGAGTCAGCTCGGTCGAACAAGTTCTAACATACACCATTTTCAGGTTACGCTCTTGTATGACCTAACGTCGAATGATCGCGATCTATCATTCGTTTCACGAGGCATATATGCGAGACTCGCAGGTGCAAACACAATTACGAGCTCGTGCCGTACAACCCAAACACCTGGTGAACCGATCTCGCGCTTTGAGAAACGAGAAAGAGTATCGTGTTGGTTTGCGCTTAGTGCAACATTTAAAACTTATCTATTCGACTTTTCGTCACGTTTATCAATCCTATCGTTAAAGCCGTACTTTCACGTATGGTGTTTCTTCTACACGCTCGATTCGTTACGCTAAGGACTCTCATGCTAGTTTGCTTGCTTGCTTGGTTGCTCGCTTGTGTCGTTGCTTCGTAACAATTAGAACAAAAAGTATTCGACGTAAGACACGTGCGAATACGAGCGAACACGAGTGACCGTCCTTACACCATTTACCCACATTTTCAACCAGGAATATACTTTACTGCTAATAATAGTAGCCGTATGATCGAGAGTAACGAATCCAATGTCTTAACTGATTAAAACATTTATGATTTATAAATCTTATTATTTGTATCCTGGTTTATATATTCTTTGTCATTTTTTTTTCCTTTCTTTGTCTTTTTTTTTCTCTTTCTTTCTTTTCTTTTCTTTTTTTTTCTCTATTTCTTCTTTTACAAAAAATAGCTATCACTGAAAGTATTTCTCTCTTGAATCATTATATTTATATAAGTATA